ATCATTTTGATCTTTCTGGTTTTGGCTGTTCTTATACTGTTGTCTACCCATCCCTTCTTCCAGTGCATCCTGGTGGTGTCTCTCCCTCTCCTAGTGAGTACAGGACCAAGGTTCTCTTTGGGTGGGTGCAAGCAGGTCTAATACTCTGATGACTGTCCTCAGCCAGTGCGGGGGGTGGGGGGAAGGTGGGACTAGGGTGCCGGCAGACTGTGGATGGCTGGTCCGCTGAGACAGGTTACCCTGTGCACAGTCCCAAGTCCTCAGGAAGCTCCAAGCAGGGCACCGGATGTTGGGCTCCTCCTGTGAGTAGAGGCAGAACCAGGACTCTGGCAGACTCTGGGCAGGCCAGTCCAGGGACGGCCCCTCTGCATGCAGTCCCAAGTCCTCAGGAGGCTCCGAGCAGGGCACTGAAAGGGCTCCCTTCTTTGGCCAAACTTACAAGTCTTGATTTTGAAAAGTGAGTGCTGTGTACCACATAGGGCAGCAAGAGAAGTTCCTCACACACAGGAGATATTCAGCAAGGCAGCTGCTGTCACTCTTTAGGGACTATAATTTTTAGAGAGAGAGAGAGAGTGTGTGTGTGTATTATGTTAAGGGTGTGGATCCCATGAACTCAGGATACAGATAGATAACTTTATTTCCTCCAACTGAGTCCATTTTCTTGTTGAAGGCAGAATGTAGACACTTATTCTAGATACTTCTAGAAGGGCTCCCCAGATCCTTCAGTTTAGTAGACTTGCATTTCAGCATATTTGAAGGTCTCCTTACCCTGTTTCCCTCCCCAGGGGCTGATAACCCAAGGTGGCCACAGTTGGGGTATACTTGCTGTGGTGTTTTAACGAGAATGGCCCCTGTAGGCTTATATACTTGATTACTTGGTCCCCAGTTGGTAGAACTGTTTAGGCTTAGGAGGTATGGCCTCATTGGAGGAGGTATGTCACTGCCAGTGGGCTTTGAGGTTTCAAAAGCGTATGCCACTCCTAGTTAGCACTCAGCACCTACTTGCTGATGAGGACATAAACTCTCAGCTGCTTCTCCAGCATCATATCTGCCTGTAGTCTGTAATGACCTCCATCATGATGGTCATGGGCTCTAACTTTTAGAACCATAAGCTCCAAATTAAATGCTTCCTTCTTTTCTAAGTTGCCTTGGTGGTGTTGTTTTGTCATGACAATAGAAAAGTAGCTAAGACACTCACCCTGATGAGTTTCAGTCATCAGTATATGTTGCATGGTTGTGGTGCCATTCTGAACTATCCTTGGGTCCTGTCTGTTTTCCATCTCATGTGTCCCCTGTGTCTTCTGTCTTCAGAGTAGTAGAAGGTTGATATTAGGGGTCTTGTGGAGAGGAACTAGGAATCCAGGAGAGGCTGTTCAGCAGGGGGACACAGTGTCTATGATTATGTCCAAGATTCTTATCTTCCTTTTACTGTTTCTTCCCTTTTTCCCTTTCAGCATTTCAGCATGAGGAATTTTCTAGTAGTGGAAGGGCTTGTGTGTTGATGGACATTCTTCCCAGTGTTTCCTGTTTTTTTTTTTTTTTTTTTTTTGTTTATATTTTCTCATTCATGGGACAGCTTAGCTTGGACTTTGAATTCTTGACCTAATTGGTGACCAAACAAGGATTTTGAACTTGGGATCAAGGTGAATTAGCATCTCAGTTACATGATAAGACTATCCAGTAAGCCCTGTTATTGCATATCCAATATTCCAGATAAGGAAGTAAATGTAAAGAGCTTGAGTCTCCCAAGTAGACAGGCATCAACCTAGATCCAGTTCTTTGCCTCGTAGGCAGTGTGTGAAGTGAGCCTTCTGCAGCCTCAGCAGTACCACTCTGCTAGCTATGCATACTGACAGCCTCCTGGGCCTTCCTCAGACACTACCTTTTAGGTGGCCTATTTCTCTCCCACCCCAGGGACTGGCCAAGCTATACCTGAGGTTGGGTAGTATACTGATCACTGAATGTTGTATTATCTAACTACCTGGATCAGCATTAATAATGGTAAGTTTTCTCTTCTTTGATCCCATTCCTCACCAGACCTTTCCATTTCTGTCTTAATTAAGAAGTCTTATCATGCAGACACTCAGAATCACACTGTGGTAATGCATCATCGCAAAAAACATCTCTTACATTCAAAGAGACTAGAACCCTTTTTTTTTTTTTAAACTTCCAATATGTCTCTTTATTTTACTGTAATCTTGACCCCTTGACCCTCTACCATTAAGGAACTTTTGATATGCGTTTTAATATGGTAAACTTATTGTCCATTTTCTAAAGCTTTGTTGAAGTGGAATAATCCGTTGTATATACTTTTTAATGTATTTGTATTTATCATAATGATCTTTTTTCTTTAAATTAGAAACATTATTATTTTATATACCAATCCTAGTTCCCTCTCCCATCTTCCCAGACTCCCCCCTCATCCTACTCCCCAGGGAGAGTGAGGCCTTCCACAGGGGATCATCAATGTCTGTCACATCATTTAGGATGGGCCTAGGTCCTCCCCCATGTATTTAGGCTGAGAGAGTATCCCTCCATGGGGGAATGGGTTCCCAAGAGATTGGAACTTTATTGACTCATAGCTGAGTTAATAATACAACTTGAGGTCACTTAAGACTGCTGTCCTACTGTGTACTTGGCCTGTTTGCTGAACCTGCCTTTCAGAGAAAAATGTAACAACCAACATCACTTGCTGTAGATCCCCCCATGCAATCAGCTTTTACAACCTAAGCTAATGTGTAGCTCTAATCTTAAGTTATGTACTCTTTAATGCTCCTGACCCATGAGGAACTCATGTGTATTGTATGATATAATTAAAAATGCTGAAAACAGCCAATAGGTCAAAAGCAACCTTATAAAATAAATATCTACTATAAATGTTGGAAGCAACATGGGCGTAGGTTGGTAAGTCTGAGTGCAGTGATGTTTGTAGTAGAGCCTGTTATTGGGGTCAGTTGGAGTCAGTAAATTTTCATCTCTTGTTAAACTCTATTAAAGATTTCTCTAAAGCATTCCTCATTCCTTCCCCCATGTGGCTCTTTCTGTGATGTTCAATAAATATGAAAAAAGCCATTTACTGGGGACACAGTCATAGAGATCAACAGATACACAAGAGAGCATGTAGGCAGGCACAGATTCAGACTCATACAATGGACGAGAACCACCAGATGATGGAAGATACAGGCAGAGAGAAGTAGAGGTTTTAAAATCTGAGATCTCTCTTGGTGAAACTGCTCCAGAAGTAAGTCTGATTTCTTTTCCTTAGTGTGATGTCAACACATTTTGTGCAGTCTGAGGTTGTCACTGATGTGTTTACACAGATGCAAATACATAGATAACTGTGTGAATGATGCTGTGGACCCCAGGGGAATTCTCTGTTCAGATAGGGCTGGATTTTGGGATGGGACCCCTAAACTCCTTTCATCCTAGCCATTGGTCTCATGGCAGGGGATGGCTAAGGTGACCTCAGTCACATCTGTTGCCCCATTGGCATGGCCCAGGACAGAGCTCAGTGGGAGGGGTATTGATTTTATGAGAAGCCAAGACTGCATTTTCTTCTCTCTGGAGTTTTGGCTGCTGCCCCGGATGGCTAAAGGCCATCATTTTTTAAAGTGGAGGATTAATTAGAATAGATTTCTTTAACTCAGGATGCCAGTAAACCTCATGGCCCTCAGCTATTGATTTGATGCTGAACAGGAAACTACAGATCTGGAAACATGTCCCCCAAAGTTGTAGAGATGGGCTTTCAGTGTGTGTGTGTGTGTGTGTGTGTGTGTGTGTGTGTGTGTGTGTGCGCGCGCGCGTGTGCGCGCGTGTGTTTATGCATACAAGTGGAGGCCAAAAGTTCTCATACAGCGTGTTCATTAATCTCTCCACCTTAATTTTTGAGACTAGATCTCTCAGTAAACCTGGATCTTGTTAATTAGCCCAGAATATCTGGTTAACAAGCTGTAGGAACCCTTCTGTCTCAGCTTCCCCAGCAATGGGGTTACAACATTTGCCACCATACCCAGCTTTTACATAGATTCTGGGGATTCAAATTCACGTTTTCACATTCACACAAGCAAGCACTTTACCCACTGAGCCATCTGCCCAGTTGCCCTAATCCACAGGTTTAATTTTAACAAAGCAGAAAAATCAGAACCCAAGACTGCAGTGGGAATGTGAAGGGTATGGTTGGAGGGAGTTAGCCTGAGGGCCATTGTGAGTCCATGAATGAGGAGGGTGTCATTTCCTATGAACACTGTGGCTGAGAAATTGAAAGGGACATTTGTGAACCTTGGAGGCTGAGATGATTGCAAGCAAATTAATAAGCTAGATATTGGAGACATTGGTTCTTATGCAGATAATTGAGTTCTGAGGAGAGAGGTCATGGTTCCTTCAACTTCCCCATCATCTGAGAGTCTACATTATGATAAGCTTAAACTCTTGTCCTCTAGGTAACATCTCTATTTAATTCAACTCAGCACACATTTATTAGTATCACTGTATTGGTTGAGGGTGGGCTTAAAGAAGCCAATGGCAGGCTCCATTCTCTTGAGAATTTGGTGGTGACCGTGGTGCATTAACTAATTTTCTTGTTGCTATGACAACATATTTTTATGAAGGCAACTTCAGGAAGAAAGAAAGTGTTTAGTTTGGGTTTCAGCATATCATGGTAGGGAAGGCATGGTGGCAGAAGTGTGAGGCAGGTCACGTCATGTCTGCAGTCAGGAAGCACACACACACACACACACACACACACACACACACAGAGAGAGAGAGAGAGAGAGAGAGAGAGAGAGAGAGAGAGAGAGAGAGAGCAGTGCTCAGCTCTCTTTTCCTTTTTATTCAGACTATTTATCCCAACATCCATGCAGCCCATGTTCCGGGTAGTCTTCCCTTCTCAGTTAACCCTTTCTTGGAACACCCTTACAGATGTACCCAGGGGCATGTTTCCATGGCAATTCTTTTTCTTAAAATTAATTTTTATTTAAATTAAAAACAATTTTTTTTAAAAAAAAACTCCTTCTTGTATGTATCAAAACACATACTGAAAAATGAGTTTAGGGTTGCAAAAGAGGATTTATTTTTGCACCTGTCTAACCTGCCTTTGTGCACCAGTGGAACAAAAACATATGCAAGTGCTACTAAATTAAAAACAACCTTATTTTACATACCAATCCCAGTTCCCTCTCCCTCCTGTCCTCCTATACCCCACCAAACCCCCATCTCATCCCCTTTCCGCTGCCCAGGGGAAAAAAAAGTCTGTCACATCATGTGGGGCAGGGCCTAGGCCCTCCCCCAAGAGTCTGGGCTGAAAGAGTAACCCTCCACAGGTAATGGGCTCCCATAGCCCATTCATATAGATTGCCCTGGCCTCCCTACTGATACCCACATTCAGCGGGCCTGGTTTGGTCCTATGCTAGTTCCCCCACTGTCAGTATGGAGTCTGAGAGCTCCCATTTGTTCAGGTCAGCTGTCTCTGTGGGTTTCCCCAGCATGGTCTTGAGCCCTTTGCCCATCACCCCTCTCTCTCTCCAGATGGATTCCAGGAGTTCAGCTCAGTGCTTAGCTGTGAATCTCTGTTTCTGCTTCCACCAGCTACTGGATGAAGGCTCTGTGATGGCATTTAAGGTAGCCTCTCCACTATTGCTTAGACTCTTAGTTGGGGTCATCCTTGTGGATCCCTGGAGATTTCCCTAGTGTTCATGGTGATTCTTAGTCTAGTCAGGTTGACAGTAAAGATCAGCTACTGTGTATTGTCAGAATACCTCCTCTGACATGACAACTCCTGTCAGGTGGGGACGGTATTTTCATGAAGGCAGAGAAATTTCCATGATCTGCGACCTTAAAATATGTTTTAATTTTTATTTATGTGTGTGTCTGTCACATGTGTGTGGGTACACACAGAGACAAGAAAAGGGCATCAGATGCTGTGGAGTTGTAGTTATGGACAGTTGTGAACTGCCTGATGTGGGTACTGGGAACCAAACTCTAGCCCTTTGGGATACAGTATGAGCTCTTAGAAGTCCTTTTTAAAAAATTAAATCTTTTTTATTTTAATAATGTTACTTTCCCTCTCCCAATTCTCGCTAGGACTCCTCCCCATCTCCTTACCCAGCCAACTTCATATGTGTTCTAGCTCTTGTTCTCCCCCTTTCAAAAAACAAAAACAAACAAACAAAACCCATACAGATACAAAAATATACTTAGTGAGGGACCAGGGAGGAGGAGAGGATCTCCCGAGGAAGGGAAATAGAATACAGTGTTATGGAGAGATAAAGGGGGAATTAGAATAGGAGGATCAAATAGGAAGGGAGCTAGGAGAGAAGGATGACGAGGGAATATGGGGCAAGACAACTGCCTAACACTACAGGCCCATTTGAAAACTTACTGCTGTAGAAGACTCCTGAAGTACATACACATATGATGGCAGCCATTTTTGAATGTAGTGATATTTGGACCAGAATTGCCGAGAAAGCAGCTATTCATGAAGGGACCACACATAGTGGTGTCCTTGGCCATTATCCCTGGGTTCTTCTGTGACTGAAGCTTGGAAAAAGAATACTCAGAGAACAGATAGCGTTCAGGTTGCACAAGGACTGATGAGCAGCCTGGGGAGCTAGACTTTGGGGAGGAAGGGGCAGTGGTCAAACAGTGACCCAGCAGGTACAGATGGAGTTAGAGGGGTAAAATGCAAGTGAAGAAGTTATAGTAGTTAGGAGGGAAAACTGTATGAGCTGGGGTTGGGGTGGACTGGGCAATGGAAAGACAATGGGCACCCTTTCTCAGACCTAAAATAGAATCTATTGTCATTGCAACTGGGGTCTGAGGCTCAGCAAGTTTGTGAGGTGGAAGAAAAGAATACATTAAATGTGTCTGTTAGGTTTGTGGCCCAAATAGGATTGCTATTTTTTTCCTCTGAGCTGTCTTTTCCCTCTCTCTTGCTACCCTCCAAGAGGTGGATGCTCTAAATAATGAATCTGGGATCATAGGATATTGTGGCTCAGGGACAAACTTGCAAACAGAAGGTTGACTAGATGGGTGACCTAGACTAGCAGCCTCAGTAGAGCTGGACAGTAGGGTAGCAGGACAGCATGTGCATATAGCACATTTCCTCTGACTTCAAGGTGAGGATGCACCAGTCACTGTCTCCATGACCCCTCTGTTCCAATACGGTCCTTTAATGAAAGCTTTCTGGCCTCAGGAGCCTGTGATAATAAAAAAGGAACACTCCCTCTTTTCAGTGTGCAACCACTGGCTCTCAGTATTGGGAGCTGTTAAAACCTTTGTTAGAGGCAGCAAAAAGGGGTTGGCTTGGAAGCCCTGGGGCTGTAGCTCAGTTGGCAGACTGCTTGCCTAGCACACGTGATCCTTTGCCTTTGCGCTCCATAGCCACATAAAGCCAGACATGTGCCTGTAATCATCAGGAAGTGGAAGCAGGAGTTCAAGGCCGTTTTTTGCTACATAGTAAATCTGAGCACAGCCTAGTTTACATGAGACTGTTGAAAAACAAGCAAACAAAAGGAAAGAGTGGCCAGTCTGCAGTCCAGCAGGCCTCTCTGGAGTCTGATGTCCCCTCTTTACTAGCTTCATGATAGCAAGAGGACCCTGTACCTTTGTTTTCTATAACATAGATCGGACACTAATCATCTCCTTCTCTGCACATTCTGAGTGGGCTGAAGAGACAAACATAGTACATCTATAACATTTGTAGATGCTGAGTAATTGCTTGAGGTCTTCACACACAGCTGTTGATGGGCTCCATGCAAACTCCCAGAGGACCACTGGGTTCCAAGGAAGCCCAGAAAAACTGCCACCTACTGGTCCTTCCATTTCATTTTCAAATCAAGAATCACTGCAGGACAGCATGCCAATGACAACTCAGTAAAGAGGGACCTTAGGGACCTCTGTTCTAACATGTTCCTCCTTGGTCACAGTCTGCCAAGTTCATGCATATAGAGAGGTGTCATGACTGAAAACACTCTCTCTGAATGGATGCATAAAACACACACAGGAAAATCCTTTCTAATCTTGGTGTCCCTGTGTATGTGGAAGTCAGCTTTTGATCAAACATTGACCTATAAGGAATGAATAGAGATGGAAAAAAATGAGATAAACAGTATTTGAACATGGATCATTTTCTCCAATGAACAGAGGGGACTTGTAAAATACAATGAGTGTTGAGTTGGGTGTCACAGAAGAAGGTGAGTCCTGGGTTGTGGCGTCTCCTGATCATTTGCTTGTTGATGGGTGGCAGCTTCCTCTGAACTGGAATGTCCCCTCCAGGAGGGAGGAAGAGGCTCATAAGTCTCAGGAGGTAGCCAAATGTCATGTGTCTTGGAAAACTGACACTTTAAAGATTCTCCAAGGCCCCTCTCCATCTTACAGATGAAGTTAACAATTGCTTGAGGAGGAGACTGAGCCAACAAGCTGCAGAGAGGGGATTCTTAGGTCCGTGAAGCTGCCTGCAAGCTATGCAGAACACTCTAGGGTTCTGGCTTCCGTGAGTTGCCACCTGTGTTGGGGTTGGCTTTATGGTGATGTAGCTGTGTTTGATTCATCTCTGCTCCCCTTAGTAACCCATGTAAACCACTGGTTCATTAAGTTGGTCTTTGGTGCATCTGTAGCTCCTGGAATGAGTAGCTATGTGTTGCATCTCCCCAGGGAAAGTCTCTCATGCACCTGTCTTCCCTGTGTACACCTGGAGTTCGCTGGCCTAGAGATAGGGAGACACTAAAGAGATCTGGAAAGTTCTCACATCCTGGGAATTCATGAAGAAGGAAGAGTGAGTCTATTTAGTCTATTTAAAATCCACTCTGCCAAGGAGAACTTCCACAAATACTAACATTTCAGAGTGACTCAGACCCTGCCTGATGTAACAGCCAGAGTATTTGAGTAGCCTGGGTTTCCCCACTCCAGAGAGGCAATCATAAGATGCTTATAAGGTTTCAGGATTGACCTGATCAGCATCAGCATCACCCACTGTGTGGCAAGGACTTTGGTAATAAGAACAATAGCATTACAGAAGAAGTCTGTGCTATCCAAAATGCCTTTTGAAATAGCATTTTGGATAGTGGAATTTTCCATGAAGCTGAGGATTTTTCCATTTGAATAGAGACTCTGGTCTTTGTGCTTTAGACAGATGGGATCAATATCACATTCCTTATTTGCCTGGAGAGAAAAAGCAGGTGATAGTTATTATTCTGTACCATGGATATGCTGTTCCCAGGGGGTTAGTAAACTACACTGTTTTGCCCCAGACAAGTGAGCTTTGCTGCCTGCTCTTCAGTTTATTTTATTTTTTTGTCTCTTCCAGACTCCAGGCATCTTTACATCTAATTTCATCTCTTCATTTTTGTTCTTCATTTTGTGTGTGTGTGTGTGTGTGTGTGTGTGCACTTGTGTGTGGAAGCATGCGTGCAAGTGTTTGCACATATATGGAGAACAGTGGTCCACAGGAATCTTCCTCCATCCTTACTTTTTTAAAAAAAATTATTATTGTTACATATAACCATACATATAAATACATAGATAGAACCTGCTGAGTCAATTAGTGTTTGCTTATATGTGTGTTTATAGGGCTAACCAATCAAGGGGCTAATTATGCTATTTCCCCATTTCATTTCCTCCCTCATAGACTCCTCCTTGCTCTCTTTCAAATTCATGACCCTTTCACTAATTGTTGTTGATTACATCCAAGTTATAAGTGTTAACCATTGTACATTTTGGGATATCTTACTGTGCTGGTCAACTACAAAATATTTCAACTGTGTTCAGTGTCCTTAGAAATAAGGGAAGGGGAAATTAAAACAACTTCAAGATTTTGTCTCATCCCAATCAGAATGGCTAAGATCAAGAAAAAAAACTGGCATTAAATACTGGTGAGGATGTGGGAAAAGAAAGACATTCATTCCTTGTTGGTGGAATCATGAACTGGAGCAGCCATTCTGGAAATCAGTGTAGAGAACTCTACAAGAACTAAAAATAAGTCTACTGTATGACCCAGCCATACCACTTCTTGGCATATGCCCAAAGGACTTGGCATCCTATTCCAGACACTTGCTTAGCCATGTTATTGCTGCTCTATTCACAATAGTTAGAAAATGGAAATAACCTAGATGTCCTTCAACTGATGAATGGATA